TTCCTTTTTTTTTTTTTTTTTTTAAGTATACTAGTTTCAATCATGAAACTCGATGCTATCGCGTGAAAGAGTAAGTATATCTCTTCACCATTGCAGATATACGCGAGCCAGTACGATTAGAGTTCTCCTCGTGGTAATAGTTATTAGATAAACGTCTCTAATTAATCGCATTGTTTATTATGAAAACTCACGTCACGGTGACACGATAAAATTTCGAAACACGAGAACCTTACAACCTGTTGTTCCATTGTATATATCCACTGATATATATCACGACTCAATCAACGCACGAGTCATTCGCTCTTATTGTTGTTCGATGTACATCACAATTTTGTGTCGCAGTGTCGTTCGTTTGTAATTTCGTAACAAAAATGTTGCGCGCGACGAAGAAATGTCACATCCGTCCGAAAAGATAAAGCGTAGTGATAGCAGAACGAAATCTGTGCAAATGTTGATGAAAGGTGTGTATTTATTGAATATGATATAAAATATAGAATAAAATATACATATAATGTAATGTATAACAACTAATAACGAGTAATCATATTTGCAAATTGGTCCGTAACTAATGGTACAAGTTGGTGCAAGGCGGTTCTGCGAGAAAAAATAACATTTTTTCACGTGACATTTCCGAGAAAATCAAGTTCGAAATTTTGATTAGCTAATTCCGAATCGAACAAGAAAAATAATCAACAGGATGTTAAACTACCTGTGAAAGCAACTCGAAAAATGTAAATAATATTTTTTCATATGTAAAAATGTACAGTCGGTGTAAAATGTATTCGTACAGTAATTAATTTCAACAAAAATATTGTAGAACATCGTCTATCAGCGAAATTTTAGCAAATAAAAAATACGTATATATTCTTACCAAGCCGCAAAATAATTTTCATAAAAAAGAAGGGGAAACCTATATCCTTTGCAGAGATATTAACAAGTATCTAACAAATGGCAAAAATATATGCGTGATTAATATTCATACAGTTATAGTAATAGTAGGAAAAGAGTAAGACTCGCCTAATATCTAAGAGAGGAAATCGCTAGGTTTGATCATTTTAATACTCAATGGGGTTTCCTTTTGATTTTATTATGGCTCGAAGCCGTCGTGGTAGTGAATTTATCAAATAGATGAGTACTCTGCTTGAAATATTTTTCCATTCTTCTACAAGAACCTTCTTTAAATCATTTCTTGCTGAAATATGGTGACTCTGTATCTTTTCGTTTCAGGTGGTCCCAAATATTTTCAATGATATTTACATCTGGTTGTTGTGGACGTGTTTTTAAGTGTTTGTAAACATTATACAAGTGCCACACTCGCATATTAGTAGCATTATGCTTTGTTGTTATCTTACGTCACGATAACATTGTCTGTCAAACCCATTCTTTTTATGCACTTTGATGTAGATTATTTTTTAAAGCATCTACGTACGTTTCATCGCATAGAACGGTAACTGTACGAATACTTATTATATTTTTATTATATTCTTCTCATTTTAAAAATTCGTTAAAGTGTAACAGAACAATTCTTAACTAAACAAACATGTTGAAACATTATTTGCTTGAAAGCGGAGGCTTGGACGGAAAAATGTTATTTCGCAATTTTTATTTATTTTCGAATGTATGGCAATTTTCTCAGAAACAAAGCGCATGAAAACCTTTTCATTCCATTTTTTCAACTTATTTTTTCACATAGAATTAGCCCGTGCCCAATTGTTCCACGTGTTATGGATCGTCCTGTATATAAATATATAATTAATTAAATAGAATGTAAATTGAAATATGCAATTAAGATACGATTATATCGCAAATAATATAATTACATGTCGCACGATGTTACTCACAAATACGATCATTAGCAAAATATCTCTAACGCTTGAATATTGTCTGACTAGATTTCTCCCAATACATCGTCGTATTTCTGCCACGAGCAACTCTAAAGTTTTCACTCGTCGTATCTCACGTGAACTAAAGACGTGTCCAGTACATAGAATAGCTTGTGAAGATAAAATGTGTGTTTACAAAACAGATCTGACCATCTGAAGGGTAACTGCTGCTCACGCGCGTATCTACGAGTTCGAATTACCACTGCTTTGACTTATTGTCGACAGGAAACTCGTATCGCGAGAGCCGGGTCATCGTGTTATCGCAAGAAAATGTACTCCCGCAAATACGAATTGATAGGTGAGTAACAGTAACATCGCAATATTTATTTAGGCCATATCGAAAACAAATACCGACATTCACCATTGGCTGAACTATGTTATAACTCGAGGAAAAACGTAGTATGGGTCAGTGCATGAACCGAAGAAGATTTTACGGTTGCTGGCGATCGTTGCTCGTCGAAGACGACGAAGCCTCATTCAGACGAATACGTACGAACTGTGATTGCATCGATATAAGTTTCTTTGATTAATTTTATGATGATCGGACGCGAACGCCGTTTCGTGTGTGTACTTTCGTGCCATTGAATTCGCACGTGACAACTTCTCCTTGGCCAGCGTAACGTAAATAATGAGCGTAGTTAATAATACGAACTAATCGCCGAGTGGAAAAATCGCAAGACGAAAGATTGAAGATCAGTGTTTTACGATGCCTGATCAGTGCTTTTTTATGCCTGTGCACGCGTCCATGAGGAAATGTGAATTGGAAGCTCAAGATAAGGATGAATTCAAATGAATCTGATTAAATAAACAGAGATATATATATACGTATGTGCCGTTTACGTAAAACGTTAAGACGATTAATGTCTCTTTTATATGTAGAACATATCTGGATTACGTTCATTTACATAGTGCGAAATAAATAGGCGACGATAAGATTAGAATTGCAAATATAATCTGTTTCTCGATAAATCAACTGGCTGTATAAGTTACGGATAATAACCAGTGAAAAACTTCGGTTTCTCTATACTAATGTCAAACATTATATAAAATAGAAGACATGCTGAGAATTAGAGATACACTTATGTTGCTGCTTCCTTGTTAGTGATAAGAAATTCTTCGTCGTTCGTATATCAGCTTAGTTATTGATCAAAGAATGCTTTTATGCAACGTTGTATAATTTAAAAAGAAAATAACGTTAACAAGTAAAGATTAATGAAAGGACAAGTCGAAATATGCAACACTGTGTTACGCAAACTGCCGTAAAAAACGTTAGAATTTTTAAATTGAAACATAAACTCGACCGATTATAATAAGAAACGTTTCGTCGAACACAGCTACGCGTATTCCACTCGCGACACCAACTCGCAACATCCACGGCACTGCTCTCCACTAATTCGCTGCACGTTCGATCTCTGTCGATTTACCAACCGAGTCATCGAATACTTCGTACAAAAACCCAACTATCTAACCATACGCGTGCACAAATCTCATATCGCCGGTGTCTCTGCTCTCGCGACTGAATCTAGTCATCGGTCTGCATAAATGAATCACGAGAACGAGCGAGATAGCAACAAACATGCGACGTTAATCGACGCGCGGTCGCTCTAAACGCTGGCGAACGCGACGACACGAAACGAGAACCGTTGGGTTATTAAATTAGCGTCCCCATGGCGACCAGTGGTCAAGAAAATCGGTGTTTCATAGAGACAGTCGAACTGAAACGGCGCTTCGTACGGCTGTCAAAGCAACGCGTTTTAGATTACGAGATCAGAGTCGTGATCGAGGCTCGCGGCTACGATGGCTCTAACTCGCGTATAATTCTCGCGCGGCTGGTACAGTTCGAAGTCACGAGCAACGTGGTTCAATTCGACGCGATTCATGCGAAACTTGGCCATAGAACGCTCGACTTATCGATGGTTTGACGTTCCCGGTTGTACGTCGAGTGTTCGAGTCGCCGATACAGAAGCCGAGCAAGTGTACGTATAATGGCTCACTCGTTGATGGATTCTCTCGTCTAAGTTCCTAGTTCGAATCTACGCAATTTCCCTTCTCCGCGTTGCGAGCTTATGGTAGAACTTGATTTATCGAAACGAAATTTCAGTTAGTGACCCGTTAACCTAACCTCTTTATCTATTGGGTTTGTCCGCTTGGACACGAAGTTGTCTTATTTGGTTAAGAAATTACAGCGGAAAGAATCGGCGAATTATAAAACGAACTATTTGTCCTCTGACAGAGATTCGGAGAAATAGAGAATTCTACTTTATCGTTCGATTAGTGCTAGAATTATCAAGACAGTTTAAGACACGGTTTTAATCTTTGACCAACTGTTCGTCGTTCATCGGTCCGATAACGTTTGCAATGGTAAATAGGAAAAACAAGCGAGAAACGTCGTTTCCTGTAAAGTTGCCCGATGCGAAGCGTCAAGTAGAAATGGGATGGAGGAATTTGTTCTCTGATTACATCATGGAAGCTAGATAAAGCGAATAGAAATTATTGGCTGAAATTCTCTCTGTAAATGCGTCGATGAATACGCTGACTCAAACAGATAATGTACATGTGTACGTAATTCGGTGTTGATAAGACTATTGAAATAAAGGACATAACTTACTTTGAGAGAGATACGTTTGAAAGAAGATAGGAGAGTGAAGTTCTTCATTAGTAAAACGCCATTAACATAATGTAATAATGATGTCATTTCGTAGATAGCCGCGTTTTATTCTTGAATAATATCCGAGCAAAGTACGAGATGAAAATTATATCTGAACTTACGAAAAGATGTTTCATATACGTATATCGTAGTAATTGCAGCAATAGTCGTAGTAAAGAGTCATTCTTTTTCTAAAGCATAGAGACAGCACCTTAATAACTCGTATTACTTATGAACCTACGTATTACGTAAAAATTAAAAACCCATTGGATATTGTGTAAAAGTACATTATTAAATTATTATTAAGTAACGTTATTAAAATAAGGACTGCCTAGAAAATTGGCTACGTGTTCATATGAAACGTAAATCATCGAGGAATCGCACTTTTTTTCGATAAATTTGAATTAACGTTCGATAATCTTGTCCATTCCAGATTTAATGTAACGTATCTTCGCTGTATCGTAAAGTATCGGAAAATCGGCGAAGAGGAATCCCATCAAACATAGCTCGTCTAACGATGTTTTGTCTAAAAGGAAGAAACAGTGGCGATACGAAGCTTAGAGAGATGTTGAGACAGGATGATTTTGGATGGTGGTTGAGCAACGAGGACGATCTAAAATCGCCTAGATCAACTCGTAGCAAAGATCGTCGATCGGTGGGATCGTCGGAATCGATGTTTTCCTGCATAGATTCTGACGACAGCGAAAGTTATGTCCTTGCGCAGGAATTCAAACAAGAATGCAATTACGAGAAAATAGAACTTACGTCGTTAATTAACGAAGATTGGGACGTGAATCTTATCGAGCTAGATGCGATTAAGAAAAAAGCGGTAAGTTGACATCATTTCACTTCTTCAGAGATGTTTTATTCCCGAGCAATTGTCGCAACTATCGTTACAAGTAATTACGCAACAAATGAACAAAGCCTCTTGATAGAATCGAGAAATTTTCATCCGACGATACAATAACTCAAAACACAGATCGTTTTCTATTATAATATCTACCCCGTGGTGTCGCGAGTGTTTATAACAGCTTCCGAGTTGGCGCTATCAGCGCTTTCTATTGCGAACTTCGATATTTCTTTCTAAATATGTACGTTTACACGTAACCGATGACAATCCTTCTCGCGGAGAACGATCAAATTTAAGCAGATCGATGAAATTGTAGGACATCGCGCCATTTCTAGCGGAAGACGAGACACGGTATTCGGACGATTCGAACCCGAAGTCGCAGGACTCGCACGGCACGTGCTACACACCGGAAAGGCTGGTCAGATCTCAGAAGTACCGAATACTAGCGCCGTCGCCCCGCTACTTGTCGATCTCTCAAATGAGAGACGTGACAAATAATCCATGGAAGACGTCTCACTACCGCCACCAGTTGGACTGTCTTATCGACTCCAACCAAGATGGTATGTATCTTGCTGTTCAGAAGAATGCGGGAGACAAGAAGAAAGAAAGAGAGAGAGAGAGAGAGAGAAAGAGTGCTCGTGCCGGTTCGACATTCGCAGAGCGTGCAACAGCGGATCGCGCAACAAACTTGTTCCAATGCGGACCCGCCATCAGCTAACTTGAATATAACCCGGCTATTGTGTCTGACCTAATAAAGTTTCGCGGTTTACCAATATGTGAAATCGGTTCGCTTCATGCTCGTTAGACGTACTTTCGTTCGAACGGCTGTGCTCTTAAACTTGTTCCGCAATGCCCTCGATCGTTTGTCAAATACGTTCGTATTCTCGATGAAACTTGGACATCCCGTGAAACGCTTCTGATTATTCCTGATAAAATATCTTTTCTGTAATCTTCCGCTCGATCGATCATTGACATATAAATGATCGCTTATTTTCGATTTGTAAATTTTGAATAGCCTTCGTATAGTATCTGGATATGGTCGTAACGAATGAATTTTTGTACGATTATGGAGACGTTAGGGCGATTAGAATTATCTGCATTCTCGAACATTTGTCTTCGTTAGGAAAATCAAGTTAGGAAAATAATTCATTTCGTTCGCTCGATATACTAGCGCGACTCCTCGTCGGTAATTTCATGTTCGCGTAATAAGACTTATTGTCTCGAATTCTAATCTAAATATCGAGATCACTAGAGATCAATTTTCGCTGATCGCGCGTATGAAACATACGTAAAATATAACATATGTATGTAATACATGTATATAACACAAATTGCAAGAGTTAAACAGTAAGTAAATTAAATTAAAATTGGAATTCAAAGTTAATGTACGTATAAGTTAAAGTGAGTTCATGTAAATGGAATGTATATTCTATCTTAAAACATTTCGTCAGGTGGAATGCAAATGAAAACTTTCACGAATCCCAATCCGAAGGAAATAGTGGTACCGATAATTGACTTGCATCGTTGGAAAAAATATGAACGAATCTATAACGGGGACAACGGGACGATAAACGATAAAAACGAAACGAAAACGGAAGACATGTCCGATTATTCAAGCAGTCTGAACGTGTCCGATTATTCGTTCAGCAAGAGATCCAGTTGCGAGAGATTGAATGACACATGGGAGAACAGTGGCAAGATGGAGACACGCGACTCTTTTAGCGGTTGCTCTGAAACGACTCCGTTCGAAGACACTTCCGGTATCCAGAGCAACGATTCGAGCTCCAATACCCACACCTCGAATATGCAAAACACTCCTCCTCTCTGTCTCAGTGACGAGTTGGCAACGACGAATTACAAACTCGATACCACACAGGTTCTATTTTTTGCTATATTAAGTAGAGAAAGTTATTCACTTGGTGAAATTAGATACTAATTTGTTGAAAAAAAGTGGACATTTTTTGGAAATATGGTAGAAATTTTTGGATCGTAACTATGCCTCTTCTCGTTTCCTAATGTTCAATTACTCGTGAACTTTGTATGAAAAGTAATTTTCTAAAAGAAGAATGGGAAAATACGATATTTATTAAATAATGTACTAACAAGCGTAGAAAATAATTTCAAGAAGAATTGAAAGAAGAAGGAAGAAGAAGAAGTAATGTCTTTTTCTGTTAATTTCCTATCAAACGAAAGATGTATATCACTAACATGTATATTGTTGATTTTCCATAAATTTCATCTGAAAATAATTGATTTTTTGTCAATTTAAAAACTTTGATTCAGAAATTACTAGCTATAGTGAAAATTAGTTTTTCAAAAATCTAATTTGCTATTCTAATTTCTTTTCCTTATAGACTGTATCAATGAACAATTATTTTTCTCTTCTGTTTGTTCTTTTATTTATTCATTTGTTTTTTTCTTTTTTTTTTGTTTACTTTTCTACAGGGACAACGTTCTACTACCAATGAGGTGGTATCGATTCTTGAAGTACTCGACACAAATCCCGAGAAAGCTATGGTTCTTCTTGAGGAAGATAGTTTTCACGACAGCACGTCCTCACACGATCAATTGACCAGGCTGGCCTTGACCATTGAAACGGATGAGAATATGTCGGGAGTTCTCGAGAAAGAACATTTAATTCATCTTCAAAACAAAATAAGGAAACTTCAAGCTAGCAACAAAGACATTTGTCGAGACATATCTAATCTTCGAAAGAACTTTCAAGTAATTTTTTTGAAAATATATGTCACTCGAAAATCCTTGGAAAGTACATAAGATCAAGATTGGAAGGATAAATTTTCTTGTTACTGTATTTTTCAGTGTGACGAACAGAAAATGGCAGACATCTCGTCCAATACCAGCAAACTACGACAGGACGTACATGATCTGCGATATCTCGACGACCTTTTGAATCTCTTACGGGGAGAATTGGAAAGGATCTCGAAAAGAAATTGGCCATTTGTTATAGGACGTATAGGACATCATACGGAGGAAATGAATCTCATCGTGTGAACGATACAAATTACTTCCATTATATCGTTGATTTAACGGAAGATTTTACAAGAACTTTTGTAAAATTGCGAGATAATAGCTCGATACTTAGAGACACGGCTGAATATTTTTAAAAGACGCAAGCACGCTAAGAGCGTTTCACTGCCATTGTTACAGTTATTCACAACGACGTGAACTTAGAACATAGATTTATATAATAAATTCGTAGTCTCTCTCTCTCTTTCTTTCTCTTTCTCTCTCTCTATAATTGGTTGTCCGTCTACAAGAGAAATTATTCTATAACGTTGTCATCGAAATAAAATAATCGTAATACGAGTGCACGAGATTTGAATCGCGCGCGCAAATAGAAATTAGGGAATAGAATTTCATACTCGTATATTACTTAGATAGATTTTTTCCCTTCTGAAAAATGTATTTGTATAGAAAATGTACAATGTATTTTTATATGTATACAATCGATCATTCTCTTTTCTTTTATAATTTCTTCATTTAATAACTTGTTCAAAATCCTCATATTTGTTACTATTGAACTGTTGCCAGTATTAGTATTAGTATTTAATCACACGATATACCGCAGGCAGGTGTTTACTCAAAATTAATACTTAGAACAGACGTTGTATGGATTCTAAGTTTCATTTGGTACGTGTATCGTTGCTCTAACATTACATACAATTAGTATGCCACCTTATTTTATCTTTTTCTTGCATTTTACGAACTTTTCTATCTATAGCCAAACATTTATAAATATGTAATTAACGTTAGACTGTTAACCGAGGAAAACAAAATTAATCCACTTTTTGATACCTTAAACTTAATAATATTTATTTATCCAAAAATCCTGTATTTTTAATGTATCATTATACTTTTATTATGCATACTTACATTGCGTCCTATTTATATTTACAAGAATTAAACCCAATCGAAGTAACACTATTTCGTCTTTGTTAATTTTTAAGAGTCCTGCTTTTCTGGCTAACAATCCAATTGTCTGTTCAAACACCAAAAACATAAACCGTAACATGCGTCACGGTAGCAATAGTAGAACGGGAAAATATAACTTCTTGGATTGGACGGCTGTAATTATTTCCATCGAATATAAACATTCGTTGTAAAAATTTAACAAAATTCAATATCGACTGTAAGTTTTATTTCTTAAATAAATAACATCACGTACTAAACTTTCAAAGATACATTGATACAGTTCTGCGACTCACGTGTCGTACAATCTTAATCTTCCGTATATCGCTGTAAAATATAATAATTTACAAAATTCTAAAGCAACAGCAAAAAATGTATAACAGCGAAGCACGGAGTTTCCAAGATTTCCTTCGTTCTTTACATTTCTCACATTAAGTACTTGTACAATTTTTAATATATCCTTCATTACTGAAACGCGACGAGATTTGACATAGTCAGCTTTGCGATAATAAGATAACTTCTAATTCGAATTGATATTTAAGGCGAAAGAACACTGTACGTTGAAGAAAGTTAAGTGACATCAGTGCGCTGTGATTGCTTCGGATGTTGCCTCGAGGAATCGTGATACGCAATACCAACTCGCAACATTTCACCGTGTCGAAACACGTCGTGCGGAGATGATAGAGAAGGCAAAGATGGTAACGATGGTAATAAGCAATTTAGCATACTGGCACTACCGTCTGATGAGTAAATTCCATTATTGGCAGAGGCAATACAAGCTGTGCTTGAGCTTGACACCGAGACCAGAGTAGAGTTAGCACTTTGATCACCGCTTCCCAGTACACCTGATCCCATCAAACCTCCTGTTTACAAAAAACATAAGAATATCAGTTTTTCTTATATGTCGCTTGATGATTTTACATTTATATAATTCATACGGAACATACTTCGAACAGAAAAAACAAGAAACCGAAACCGTACATCTTTTTCTGGAAGTTGTATACCATTGATTGATAACATACAATTGTAGAAAGCTTATTCTCTAAACAAATTTCACGATTTCACAATTTTTCTATCATTACGGTATATTATAAATACGTACATATATTATTGTGGAATCTTTGCGATTTAAGAAAGATCAAGAGACAAATTAATTAAAATTTGAATTAAATTTGAATTACATTCTCATGAAATTTTTATATTATAAACCATCTTAATGTTTAATTAAGATCCTTCGCTTCTACCAGCTACGGCATGCTTCTTCATTATTCGTAACTTAATACAAAAAAATTGAAATAAGATTTACATATTTAAGAATAATGTTTCTTTCATTATGTAAATTATGTATTAGTTTTATAAATGTTACTTAATATATGCATTTAATGATGTAGTAGTACGTTATACATAACAATCATTTTAAGTAAACATAGTACTATAAAAGAAATGAAACAAAATAATTAACAACATTTTTAACATAAATACTTGTATTTTGTTTCTTGTTCAATTACATTTACAATATAATAACTAAAAAATAACTTACAATCTCTCAACACATAATGACAAATAAATTGAAATATACAGAGGTTGTACGCTTTACCCTACTACACATACAAGTAAATTAATCGTAAGAAAACATTCTACAGTTACAGGAAACTTGACACCATAGGAAGATCGATACAATATTACTTTCTGTCTTCCTCTTAACATTCTTAACCTTATGCTGCTTTGTTCCCGTATTCCATTATTTCCTTCAATTTACTTGCAAAATAGCTGTTATTATCCCTTATGTGATCAACTATCGAAAGTAATTGTATCAATCGTTCCTCCTCTTTTCTATCTCAAGCTGCTAAGCATTCACCTGCAAGGCTGGCATTCGATGCGCTGGAATTGGCTGTCGAAGCAATGGATAAAGACGTTAACGTCGACAAATCGGTATTCTCTACAACTCTTGAGTAATCCGTTCTTGTTATATGGGGTGGACAAATAGATGCAAGCGTCGATCGTACAAGATCGCTATTTCTATCGGCCCTCCGATGTCTCATGTGGACACCTGATTTGTTATTGCTACCGAATCCAAAGTGTAGAAGTTCTAAATGCCTTCTTAAATTTCGTGATTGACGCAAAATCGCCCCGCAAAGTGGACACGACGCCGGCTGATCTGACATGCTTCGTGCTTTGGACAATCCATCTCCTAAAATTAATTCCGTCAAATCTATACACATTCAAAGACACCTGAAAAAGATCACCATAACAATAGGCAGTAATTAAACAAGTTTATATCCTGGATATTAATCTGTATGTTTATTGTTCTGATCATTTGTTTTATTTACCGCTAAGACGATCATATTGCGATTCCATAAAAGTGGGCTAATAGTCATAAATAAATAATTACGTACAGTACGTACAAAAAGGCCATGTACAGAAAATATTTGCAAAAACAGCTCGAAAGACTATAACCTGTAGAGATTCTTTTATTTAAAAGTATACAGTCTATGATAAAATAACCCTTTGCTATCCTGTCAAATGAGTCCGTTATTTATTAGTTAAGTATAATTCATGTTGTCGAGTTTTTTTATACCTAATAATCGATTCTGATATTCTAAATAAAACGCATGCCAATATTTTAAAAAGATAAAAAATGTACACATATATAAATTATTTAAGTAGAAACCGGAATTTCTGTTCATTAATGTCCTTATTACAAAAGTGAATAAAAGCGAGATTTCGTTTAATCCTCAATATTATTATTGATACTGCGTTTGATTATTGACACCACTTCTTTTCAAACACATACGTACAACAACAGAAATCCGAATTCTACTTGCGCATATGTTAAAATATTAATTTGATATTTTATTGGCAAAAGAAATGAGAAAAATAAGCTTCGAAGATAGATTTGTAATTCAATAAGTTTATATAAAACTGATCACACATAGTTATTGCGTGAGTGAATATTTGAAGGATATCGAAAATTTAGAAGTATTTTGCAATATTCTTATACCACCGCTTTCACTAGGCATAATTTTTCATCGACTATTCCCATTAACCCTAAAGATACTGTTCTTACTTACTAACGTGGAAGATTTTTGCATACTTTAACTTCGTTTTAAACGTCCTGTTTCAAGTTAATTTCATACCAATCGTAACAAGAAAGATTCGATAAAAAAATAATAAAATAAGAGTATGAAATAAATTATTCGTATAATATAACAATCAATTCATTCTGATGAATTTTACAAAACGATATCAATTCATTATTTCTTTCCTTAAACAACGCAAACAATAGTTTGAACATAAATTCGCATAAGTACATTAAAGCGATAAGTAAAAAAAGAATACGCTCGCTTAAAGTAAATTTGTAACATATGTTATAAGACGAATTAGCGACAAGAAACAAAACAGTTCCTAAATCACAATAACAGAGTGGAAACATCCTGTTCGCATTATATCTTCGATTCCAATTTCTTTCTGTACATTCATCTAGCGATAGTTGGAGACGGAACATTGCTTCGAGGGGAAACAACATTCGGTCCCTGTGATGTTGGCGAAGGAAGTGGGCTGGGCTTACAAATTATTTGCTCACAGGTACTACTTCCACTATCAGTTCCATACGTCATTGACTGCTCATTGTAACTCGATAACTCGACTTCAGGCTTTACTTCTATCATCATTGTATCAGCTGGGGAACTCTGAACCGGATTACTACTAAATCGATATTTGCAAGAGGATAATAGGTGTCTACGTAAATTTCTCGCTTGCCGTAACGTAGCACCACATAATGGACAAACGCCTGGACAGTCGGATGCACCACGTATTTTAGACAAATTCATATTGCCTGTCAGCCCACAAGACGCTGTTCCAGCAGTTGTACCCTGAGTAACTAGTGGGAGTGGTATACCAGGAGGAAAGCCCATATTTAAGGGACCAGGAAATTGCGGTATATGTAGTGGAGAATATGGCTGCATTGGCATTAAAGTGTGAAGATGCGATTCATTGTCCGATATTTGATCCTGATGTGTTCCTGCCTGAGAATTTTCTGTCGACACCGGCTGCGCTTCTTGAGCACGTGGCGAGTGACAACTTCGGTGATTCGAATATTCCAACCGATCGTTTGCTGTTAACAGACACAAACACAATATTACCATGCAGGGCTGAACTGATTTTTGTATCTGAAATTTTTGAATCGTTATAACATGTGACATGATTGATTAGACGCAGTTCAACCCGATTGATGGTTGTGCTTGTGTCCGTTCTAATATAGAAAAGCTTAAAAGAAGCTTTAAACATTTATGGATCATACTCCAAAAATACATTAATAAATAATGAAAATAATATACCGGACACAGAACACAAGTAAATATCGCATATCCATTCTTGTTAAAATTTGCCACTAAACTGATCATTAAATATACACAATAATATAATGATCAACTCAGTTCAATGTGATGAGAAAAAGAAAACTGTGTAAAATATATAGTAATAAAATGATATTTCTTATTATTCTAAGTGAATATTAAATACAAAATGAGAATTTAAATATATATTTTCAATAAGTTTAAGAAATACAATAATTACAAAATACATTGCAATATAAAAAGCTAAATATTTCTTACCTGTATCATCACCATGTTCTGTATTATCTTCATCTTTATGCTCATAATTAGCTGAACGGCTATTATCACTTCCATCTATAGTCCTATTTTCATTATCAGCAGTATTGGCATTACGTGGCCATTTTCCAGAAGATGAAGATGACTTTCTTCTTTTCTTTCTTCGTTTCAATGGAAAATATGGACTAATGCTTTCTTTTGATAAAGTTTCATTTGCTGTTGGTATTGCTGATACAGGCACCTCTTCCCCATTCTAAATGAATAAAGATATGAATTATCCTTTTACATAAATGCATAAGAATTACTATCGATTAATAAATATATACTTAATTAAAACATAGACAAATATATAAAAATTGATAATTATATAATATAAAAATTATACGATATGAATATTTCAATAAAATATTATTATTATATTATTATATTTTGATTATAACACATACCTCAGTCAATATAGTAGGAGGTGTTAATCCATGAATACAAAGACAATGAGCAGCTTGAAGGAGTGAGGGTAATTGAGAAGGTTCTACGCTCACTTCACCACGATACACAAACTCCAACAATGATTCCAAATCATCTGCTCCTATACCAGCTAACATAACTACTGGATGTTGACATGGTGTGCTCTGTTTATGGAAAATAAATTTAAAAGCAAATTGTAATATTTCAAAGTTATAGATGGCATTCTATAAAACGTTCAATGTACTAATAATATTAGAACCTTTAATAAATCCAATAAAAAAGGACTAGCTGCACAAAGAACAATTTTATGTGCAGGGAAACTGCGTCCACCAGCGGCTAATGTAACATCAACCAGATCTCCATGACCTCTTAATAATTGTACCGCAGAAGCAAGTGATGAACTAAACTCTCCCCAAGACAGGCTATACAATTGACCACTGCTTCCCATTCTAAACAACAAATTATATATGATTCGAACAAAACTTGTAAATGATATTGTATATGAAAGAATTTATGATACAGTGGCAGGAAATCAGTGTTTCCATATTGCTATAATGAAATTGACTAAACCGTGGTTTTTTATAGAAAAAGTAAAGGAGAATTCAACATACGCGCATTTAATTGAAAGTACAACGTGTAGATCCAAAGTTAATAAAGATTCGGGAAAATTGACCACTAACGGTAACGATACGTACTCATCTCCCCCAACCACATTCTCTTAATTAGTGCCCCCACCCCGAAAAATATAATCTCGGCGTCGTCTGAAAGTTAACCTAGCAAAAACTTACACCGCGAAAAAATGATTGAAATTTTAGACAAAATCATGCAATTACAAATTGATAATGCGGACCGAATTCCTTTTCTTTTGATTAGAAACAAAAAAAACTAAACTTTGGAAATGTACAGAGAATAACTCAACAAAGAATAACTCACATTCGGTAAAAGTTTATCGCTGTAAATTGCACGTTATATTACAACAAACCACGTTTAATTCGTTGCTCACAGGTTATAGGAACAAGAATGACTGTGGTGCTTTGTAATTTTATGAAATAATTGGCTTTTTGAGCCGAATAGACATATGATTTGAAAAATGAAATTCAAATACTGTCAGAAATTATCATGCACGTCACATTTTATGAGACCGTGCTGCCACCATATTACTAGTAAAAAAGACACTTTTGTTTTGGGACAAAACTAAAAGAGTTTTGGCGAAAATTATCAAAAATGAAACAAAATCGCAGACAAATGAAACAGACTTTCGATTGTAAGACAATTTTTAAATACAAGCACTTTTGTTATTTCATTTAAAACTATTTTTATATTATATAATTGAATTATCTAATTCATAGTAGACAATACATTCAAGTACAGGAACTTACAAACAAATCAAACAAAATATAAAACCATATTTGTAGGTCACTTTCAATGTTTAATTCGATAAATGAATACAATAATATGTTAAAGATATATTGTTAAATACTGTGTTTTAGTACAAATTGGCGTAAATTAAGAATCGGGTAATATATAATAGTATCAATAATAGTTACGGAAGATCAAATTACAAACAAGTTATAAAAGAGGAAATTTTTATTCGAAAAAAACTATGGAGTGGGAAGTCATAAAAGCGTTACAAAAAGGGGGTATTAAATTTTATGTATAATTATATAACTACATATTATGCAATAATTTATTCTCATGAATATTTAATGCTATTATGCTATTTTCTTTAGTTTCATACAATTAATTAAGAAAAAGACACATTTCGACATTTAGTTTTCGATTTTCAGAATACACGCTAAATAAGGTGAACAGTTACGGAGAAAATTTATTACACATTAGTGCAGCAAATGGTTGTATTGATATCACAAAAGAAATTTTTCGAAAACATGATTGCTGTCATATTATTGATAGAAAAAATAAATTTGGTTGGACACCATTAATGCTAGCAATACGCAATAGAAACATTAAAATGGTTAAATATCTTTTACAAAAAAATGCTAATGTGAATGAATCAACTGATTTAGGTAAACAATTAATGTATTGTGTGAAAATATATAATATTGTTGTATCAGTAAATTTCTTATTTCTGTTCCTTTGTAGGCATGTCTGTTTTTGGATTGGCAGCTGCAATAAATAAAGATATGTTTGAAACTATATATGAAGCATGCCCATCAGCACTATTGAATTCTCTAAATGATGATGTTACACCACTTTGCATTGCAGCTATGAAAAATGATAAAAATTTATTTTTTAGATTAATAGAATTAGGATTTAATGTTTCAAAAAGTAGTAAGATATTACATTTTGTTTAAAATTGATACGATAACGATGCATAATATTGCTGGTAGAGTTTTTATTCAGTTTTACCATTAATTTTCAAATAGATGACTATACTTATAGTATGATGAAGCAGTCGATAGTACCAGAAATAAAAAATTTGGCAAAATATTTTGACACAGAAGATTATTGGAATGATAACTCAGATAACATTCTTATAGAAAATGAACCAGATAACAAGGACTGTTTAAATCTTTCCAAACTAGTAAATGAAAATAATAGTAATAAGTCTCCTTTAAATGTTCATAAGATACCGTTAGTTACATTTGATACTACAATGTGCAATAATGTCAACTGTAACAACAATGTCATAAAAGATCCAAATAAGCTTTCAAAACCTTGTGCATTAAGTTTAGAGACAAATCATTCAGAAAGTGTTCAGACTAGTTTAATTTCACCCACTTTGACTTGCAATCTGAACGAACTGTTACCTACATCTCCAAATATATATTTTACACAAAATAAACATAATGAGGAAATTAATTTGAATATAAAAGATGAAACAAAAGATAAACAGTTATTTGTAAATGAAGATGAAGTAATGCTAACTTGTTCAAAAAGTGGAAAGAATGTAAGCGAACTACCTTTGCAGAGGTATATTAGTTATTGCTCTACATTATGTAGAAAATAAATATGATACTTTAATTTAACTGTATTGTTTGCAAAGATTACAGTCCATTCGGCCACAAGATTTAAATATTCAATACAAAGAAGATCTTGATACTACTCTTGAATATGTGCCTGAATTTAGTCCATTGCGCCAACAAAATATTCCTCCAAATATGAATGATGAAAATGTATTTGGGGAAAATACACCAACACCACCACGTTACAAGACACCTCCAAGAGGAATGATTTTAAATTCAGAAGAAGCAAAAATGTTCGTTTTACTAAAACATTACGGATTAGGTCAATACGTGCCTATATTTCTCGAACAAGAAGTAAATATATTATTAAATTATCTGTGTTATATGTATATGTATAAAATTTTAGTATAAATTAATATTGTACATTTATTTCAGGTTGACATTGATTTGTTTATGACTTTAACTAATGAAGATTTAATTGAAATTGGTATAAAAAATGAAGCTGACAGAAAAGCTATATTAGAAGTGATAAATAGATCATAAAAAATCTGTGATACAAAAAGAATTTATTACCTTTTATTAATTATATCTAATTACATATTATTATTTTATTTGTTATATACTAAAGCTGCTTTAATATATAAATGTAAAAATATAATATGTTATGTTATAGCATATTAGTATTATTTTTTATACTAACTTAGTACCCTTAAGAACACATATGATACATTTCTATTTTTGCTTATAAAGATACATTTACATACGGAATGGCTGTAAAATTGTTGTATTCTTGATGTGCGATAATACTTTATTAATAAGTACACTTTTCTTTCCTTTAGAATTATGTGGAATTGAACGCTCTTTTAGCCAATCACTCAATTCACTATTCTTCATTTGATCCAACTGATTCATTTTTACCATTGTCTGCACAATATTGTTTTGATCTTATTTAATAATTATATGTAATTTTAACTTAATCATACAGAATTTAGGAACATAAGTGCGTGTATACCAGTGCAGATGAGCTGCTATCTTCATCAGATTTAGCCTTTGATAGTTTCTCCTTCAGTGTTAAATGTTTTTGTCTTTGATCTTTTTCCTGCGGTAGCTATTTTTAAAAAGGGAAGATTATAAGTGAAACATAAACAATGAAAGATAAAATATATTTTACATAGAAAATGGAGAATAAGATACCCCTTTTGTCTTAGCATAAGAATTCATGTTTTGAATTTTAAAGTATGTAGAAATTGTTCTTTCCTCTGATACCGTAAAATTTGGGTTTCTTGATGTATTAACTGTGTTCAAATTATTTTCCACATTTTGTATAGATGAATTTTGAATAGTATTTAAACATTGAATACCTATGAAATTTATTTTATAACTCAAGTAATTACAATTTTTAGGTATATTTGTACAGGTATATTATTATCTTAGTACCACTTTGATTTTCTTTCACATCCCTGTTGTTTAATTTTTGATGAATTTGATGAATTTTAGTTAATTGTGTTCTTAATGAAATAGCAGCATTTACATCTTTTGTCAACCCATCTATATGTTTATCAGACAATTCTAATTGTGAGACAATATTACCCTTTT